CAATTTGATAGTACATTTCAATATCAAATACACATTTACGTAAAATATATTGATAGTTAAAATAACAATTTTGTAAATGCATATTAAATCGAATCATACATATTCTTAAACATATATTCAAATCCCTTTTTAATTTATATGAATCATTAAAAAAATTCATGGAGTCCATTTTCACCTAAGTTTCAGTGGGAAGCTTTTAAATCATACTTAAACCAATGATGCATGATGGAGATAATAAAAAAAATTAGAAACACATACGTTATATAATATCTAGTTACGGTATAATAAAGAGTTGAATGGAAGTCAAGACAATTGAGATGGAGTCGCTCGCTCTAAAAAATCTAATATCACATGATGGACAATGATCAATATCATATATTGAAGAATAATTCAAAAACAATTAAATTATTCAAAAATCAAGAATAATAGATTATCAACAAAATGAAATTGATTGAAAGGACCCGATTCGATAACCTTAACTAGACTTTCTCTAGCAATTCTAAACAATTTCCCAATCATATCCCATCACCACCAATTCTTGATTCAATTATAAATTTCCAATTCAAATCTTTAACAATCAACTTTCAATTAAATAATCAATTCCATCCTAATTCATCTAATACTCACTTCATTTACCTTTAATTGCATTTATGTAGCTTAATTCCTTATTTTTCCCTAATTCCTTTCAATTAAAACCTAAATTTTATATTTTTCACTATTCATCATCTTCAACCTCTCAATTTCTCAAATTCACTTAATTCCACTTCAATTTACTTCATAATTCACTTATTCAAGAAACTCAAGCATCATTTAAGTAATTATAATCGCTTAGAATCCCTTTTTCCTAAATGGGTCTCAAAATCCTAATCTTAATCTAATCAATTCCTCATTCAAACAATAGCCAATGCAATTTAACTTCAATATCATTACCAATCATATATAAACATTCTAATTTAAAAATTAGGTGATTAAAAATCTCACCTTTACATTTTATCCTTCAACTCCTAATTTGTTTTTAGCTCTATAAACTTTCCAAGCTTCAAACTAGCTATCCTTCACTTAATCAACTAATTTATAGTTTTCCTAAACTCAGTTTATAATGATTTAGCTTAGGAATTAAAGAGAGAATTGAGATAAAATTTTTGGAGAGAAAAATGCATGAGGCGAGAGAAGAAGAAAAGAGAAGAAAATTATAAAAATGGGGTAGGTTCTACACCTTTTTATACCAGATCCATTTTTTTCGAGTTATTATATTCTTTCCCCTCTTAAGAAAATTCATCCTCGAATTTAATTTTGATCATGCCTCGGTAATTGAACAAGTGAGGATACTTCCTCTTCATTTCCTCTTTAGCCTCTCAAGTGGCTTCTTCGATCGAATGGTCCCTCCAAATAACCTTAACGAACACAATCTCCTTATTCAATAATTTCTTAACCTAACGATCTACTACTACCATCAGTTGCTCCTCATATGAAAATTCGGGGTTTAATTCTACTAATTGTGATTCTAAAACATAAGATGGGTCGGGTACATATTTCTTTAGCATGAAAATATGGAACACTAGATGTATACTTGTAAATTATAGTGGCAATGCCAACTCATAAGCCACTCGCTCCAACTCAACCAATAATCTCAAATGATCCAATATACCTTAGACTCGGATTTCCCTTCTTACCAAACTCGTATTACTCCTTTTATTGCAAAAAATTGAAGAAACACAAAGTCACCAATTTAAAACTCCATGTGTCTCCTTTTAGGATCTACATAACTCTTTTGTTTACTTTAGTATGTGCGATTCTAAGATATTCATGGATCAACTTCAACTTCTCGATAGTAAGTTGAATCAACTCAAGCCCTAAGGGTTTCTTTTCCTCATCTTCCACCAAACATATTGGTGGTCTATACTTTCGGCCATGCAAAGCCTCATATGATGCCATACCGATACTAGAGTGATAACTCGCCGTTGTATGAGAACTCAATCAATGGGAAGTGATGATCCCAGCTAGCTCCTATATCCATCACACATGCTCTAAACATATCCTTTAAGGTTTAAATCATCCTTTCTAACTAACCATCTATTTGAGGATGAAATGTCTTATTGAAGTCTAATCTCGCATCAAGTACCTCTTATAATTTCTTCTAGAATCAAGATGTAAATTGAGTTTCTCGATCCGAAATGATGGATACTAGAATACCTTGCAAGGACACTATCCAATTAATATATAGCTAGGCATATTAAGCATACCCATAGATAGTTTGTACATGTAGAAAGTGAGCGAGACTTAGCTAATCTATCCACAATAACCTAAATTGAGTCATAACCCCCTTGGGTTCGAGGCAAACTCGTCACAAAATCCATTGTCACTCTCTCCTACTTCCAATCCGATAGTGGTAACTCTTGCAATATCCCTACCAGTCTTTAATGTTCATACTTTACTTGTTAACAAGTCAAATACTCGTGAAACAAAATCCGAATACCCTTCTTCATTCCAGTCTATTAATAGTTTTCACAAAGATCCCTATACATCTTCATATGGCCAAAATATGCTTCGAATAGATCGTGCTATAAGCATCTATCAAAATCTGTTCTCTTAACTTTGGATTCTTTGGCACACACAACTTTCTATGAAACCACAGAGTACCTCTATTATCTACTCTAAAACTTAGACTTTTTTCTTCTTACATCTTAGTGAGAATCTCTTGTACGTTTTCATCGTTTATCCGAGCCTCTTGAATCGATCCATCAAAATTGACCTAACCTCAATATAGGCCAATAGAGCACTTGATTTATTAACTCCAAACACCACTCCATAATCTCATAATCCATTTAATTCCGATGCCAATGGTCGCTTCTCTTTCAATAAATGAGCCAAACATTTGGTCGACTTCTTACTCAAGGCATCGATCACCACATTAACCTTACCCGGATGGTACAATCATAATTCTTCGGTAGTTCCTTCCATCTCCTCTACCTAAAATTCAAATCCTTCTAATCAAATATTACTTCAAATTCTTATGATTTGTGTACATTTCACATGTCATTCCATGTAAATAATGTCTTTAAATCTTTAAGAAAAACACCATTTTTGTCAATTCCAAGTCATATGTAAGGTAGTTTTGTTTATGTTTCTTCAACTTGTCTCAATACATGAGCTACTACCATACCATACCGCATCAACATACATCCCAACCCCACTCTTAAGGCATCATAAAATACCAAAAATCTATCACTTTTTGAAGGTAAGGTAAGGGTCGGTGTCATGGTCAAACATGTCTTCAACTTCGAAAGTTCTCTTCACACTTATCGGACCACCGAAACTTCACATTCTTCTAGGTCAACTTAGTTAGTGGTGTTACAATCTTTGAGAAGTCTTGCATAAACCTTTGATAGTACTCGACCAAACCCAAAAGCTTCGAATCTCCAATATCGAAGTAAGTCTCGACTAATGGCTTATTGCTTCTACTTTCTTCGGATCAACCATAATCTCTTCTTTAGACACCATGTGTCCTAGGAATGTCACATTTTCCAACCTCGAATTCACACTTTGAAAACTTTGCATACAATATTTGATCCCTTAAAATCCGTAATACTTGCCTTACATGATTCTCATGCTCCCTTTGATTCTTATAATACACCAAAATATCATTGATAAACACTATTACAAACTTATCAAGAAATCGACAAAACACTCTATTCATCAAATCTATTAAATGACACATTCTTTTGGTAAAGTGGAACTCATTAGAAGCTATTTCGGGATCACGAAGATCCTCTAAAAGAGACTAATACGGATACGATATTCTTAGAAGAAAAAAATATTAAGTACATTGAGTTTTGTTTTTCTCTCACACATAAAAGTCATGCTCGTAAACAATTCTCATGGCAAGTCTTATATTTATGCAAGAGGCGAAAGTACAAAAAGTGTTTGTATTAATTCAACAAATCAACTTCTAAGAAAAAGATTATGTTGCATTCTACCGTCGTTTGCAAAATTTCTTCAAATTAACCCAGTTGGACTAAATTGAATTTTTTTTGGTGAGAATTTTCTTTTCGTTTCTTTTTTTTTTCTATACATTTATAATTTTTTTAAGAATTAACAGCTTTTATTTTTCAAAAAAAAAAAAGGCTCAGCTTTTTTTATTTTATTATCTATTAAATAGTTTTAAAATTTTGAAGATTTTCAAAAGAAATTATTTTTTTCATTTGCTAAATATTTTAACAAAAATCTAATACCTCATCAAAATTTTCCAATTTTTTATTTAAAAAAAAATTAAATTGTTTTTTATATAAAATGAAGTTAATTTTATTCATTACTTCAGTACTTTCAAAAACTTAATTTGATAAATTGAGAATTTTCAAATTTTTTTTATTCCTTTCAAAAGTTTATTCTTTCAACAAAAAATTACTTTATTCAACATTTTGAAAAAAAATTATTTTATGTGTATTGTTAGAATATTATTTATTTCTTAAATTTTTGAAATATTTTAATTTTTTTTTCTTTTCGATACCTTAAATAATTTCTAAATTTTTTAATCTCTTGAAGAAAAATAATTTTTTCCTTAATCATTTTTAAAATTTTAATTTGTAGTCATCTTACAATAAAATGCAATTTTGTCCTATATATTAGATGGAATTGACTAATTTTTGCTGAATTAGTGCTAACACAAGGGTGATTTTGGGCGATTTTTCCATTCAAAATATGATAAAAATGGGGAATTGACTTGTTTAAGCACCAAATCCAAAAAACGAACGTACAATGCCTGTTATTATGCAAAACATATAGAGAGAGAGAGAGAGAGAATGACAAATCTATTCAATGTCATTTTGCCATTTTTTTTAATTTATTTTTTTTCCAAAAATGTTTGTGACAACTTATTTTTGGGGACAGGTGCATATATCTATGGTTGGTAACTACAGAGAGAATATCTTGGACAACAGACAGCCCAACTCCAGCATTTGTAGATTGTGGCACATCTCCTAAAGCATACAGCAATTATTCAAATGGGACTAACCTATTCATGTGGTCATCCCACATACAAGTCCGGCCAAATTCACGATGTAGTCATTGGTCCATTGACCCCAAACACGGTGTACTACTATCGTTTTAGCTCTAATTCAGCACATGAATTCAGTTTCAAAACCACAACAGCTAAGCTCCCCATCAAGTTCGCCCTTTCAGGTACTTGCTTAATATATGTCTATCACTTCATTTTCACACTAGGAGATTTCATGTTCCAATTTTAGAAGGGATGGAATGGGATGGGGGAGTACTACAACATCCATTGTATAAATTGAAGCCTGCTGGGCTTTCAGATTTAGTCTCGTTATACAAAAGCTAATCCGAAGAAACATCTAGTCGTAAAACAAAAGGAAAAATTAACTAAGTGGTTTCTTCTCTTATACGAGCACATTTTTAATCATTGTTTCATGCCTCTTTGCTCATATGTATATATTGCAGACTCGTGTTTACCAAGACAAGCTTAACAATTATGGACCTGTGTACATAAACGTTGGGGATGGTGGGAACAGAAAAGGCCTTGCAAAAGAGTAAGTCTGCTTTCATCATTTATCGTTCTAAGGTCGAAAAAAAAACAAAAAAAAAAAAAAACAGAGAGAAGATTTCACGCTCCAATCCATCACTGAAATATTATATTCAAAACCCAATTTAGAAATACGTTCAGAAACCAAAACAAATTTTATGTTTCCAAAATTTGAAAATAAAAAACAGAAAACAGGCAAAAGATATCAAACCAGCCCTAACATAGCTTTGCCATATTTTCACATCACAGTGTGAACCTACCATTGTTCGCAAGCAAAATGTTTTGTATCTATTCTTGTCAACTGATACATTTGCATTCTTAATTTTCTTTCCAGTTATATTGATCCAAAACTAGAAATATCCGTTTTCACTTTTCAGAGTGGTAAGCTTTGGACGTGGACAATTTGAGGTTATGAATGCAACCCATGCACTGTGGAATTGGCATGGAAATGATGATGACGAGAAAGTTACAAGTGATTCCATCTGGGTTACAAGTCTCATGATCAATATTCCTTCGTGTCATAAATAGTTATAGACTGAAATTGTTAGAAAAGCATTCTATAGAAGGCGATGATAGTAAAATGTATTTAATTATCAAAAATATAATTGATAATTAATAATAAAATATCCCAATCTGGCTCACAAGTTTCCTATCTAGTTTTATGTTGGTGTGTTTCTAAATTCATATATAAACACAATCTTGGTTATATTTGAATTTTTTTGACAAATGATATGTTTTTCATTTTTATTTGCTATGTAGAAATCGTGCTATTTTATTGTAGGTTTTGGTGACTTGCATCTACATTGTCAAATGGTGTATCAAAGCTAAAGGGTTCTTTGCATGGATGAATCCTGCAGGATTACAAATCTGAAAGATATTTAAATATGTCAAGGTATATCTTTTTAGGGACAAAAAATAATTAAGTTTTGTTTTTAAGGTTCAACTAACATTGTTTTGAGGGAAGAGGACCAAACTTGTGATTTTTTTACGAGCGAAAGAGCCCACTTTTTTCTATCTTTGAAGAGTTAAAACTTATTAAGAAAGAAGTCTACTGGGGGAAGAAGGAATGTTTCTTTCTTTTCTTTTTCTTTTTCAGAAATTGAGTTATAATTTTCTAAAGAAAAGGTACTAAATAAAGTATATTACTAAGGGGAAGGAGGAAAATTTAACCTTATGGGGCCGGGACACCTCTGGCCCTACCCTGGACTCGCTTCTCCCTGATGTGCAGGGTTTGGGGATGTGTCTTCTCATATCACCATAGACATTGTTTATAGTTAAAAAAAAATAAACCAAAAACAAAATCAAGATACTATAGCACATTTTTAAATAGGTTTAATCAAATAAACCATATCTTTATTATTGATATTTTTTTAATATGATATCTTTATTTTATTTTTATTCATCATCTTTCTGTATTTTTTAATTATTTAAATATAATTTTTCTTATTGAAATTGGATCATTATTTCGATTGATGATGAAAAATAATAAAAAAAATTACCATATGATGTGACATATGAAATCAAAAATGGCCACATAGCAAAAATGTTTATTTACAAAGTCTGAAAAAACAAAATATAAAAACCCTTGATTTTTCTCTCCCCTTGTGTAGTCGATCGATCGAATCGATCGAAGTTTGCTCCAACTCATATGCAACCTCTACCATTCCAGCTTTGCAAAAGAAACACAATACAACATTCATTGTGATAGTGTCAGTAGAAAGCTGATTCTCCTTCGTCTCAATCAGCATATCACAGAGGGTTTTAACATCTTTCAATCTCAGGCCATATAGTTTGCTAAGCAGAAGCTGAAAAGAAATGGGTTCTTTGTAGATTTTTTTGTACTGGTTAAAGTAGAGAAGATTGGAGTTTAAAACTTTCCAAATGAGCTTGATTCAAGATTAAGGCATGATATACCCAATGGGTTTTTTACAAAACCCATGCTTTCTCCATTAATGCAATTGTATTTCAACGTTGTGCTGTCTCGAAGTTGTGCCAAAGCTACAAGGAAAGTTGAGGAGGAAGAGGAAGAAGTCAAAATTGATCAGAGGAGGCTCTCAACTGATTATGATCCAGATACTTTTGATCCTACAAAGCAATGGAGTCCTCTAGTGGAGCGTGTTTTCAGGCTTGTTGATGAGATCGCAGGGCTTACGTTGATGGAAATGTCTGAACTGGGGACCATTATAATGAGAAGGATGGAATTGACAGAACCACCAACTATTAGGATTTTGAAGGGTGGTGCTGCTGGATTAGCTGGAATGGCGATGAAGGTACCAACTGCTACTGCTAAAGAAGAGAAGAAAGATGAGAAGACTTTTTTGAATTCAAATTGGAGTCCTTTGAAACAGCTGCAAAGATTAAGATAATTAAGGAGGTTACGAGTTTTACTGATTAGGCCTTAGGAAGCGAAGGATTTGGTGGAGAAGACACCATCTGTGTTGAAAAAAGGAGTATTAAAGGAAGAAGGTGAGCAAATAATTAAGAAGATGAAAGCTTTTGGGGCCAAAGTCATGTTGGAATGAATGGAAGCCATGTGATTTACGTTTAGGAATTTTCTATATCCAGTTATTATCTCCTTTAGGCACTTTGATATAAGGCAAAGTTCTTTAAGGAATCAACAAGTTACAAGAGAAGGAAATGAGAATTCAAATTGCAATGCTAACGGGGATGAACTATAAGTGGCAAGCTGAGCTAGAGGAATGATTGGTTGGCATTGGAGTGACTTGAGGACAGGCTGACATTCTACTAACTAACAAGCCACGAGTTAGAGAAGGTTACAAATTAGTTAGTAGTTAGCAATCTGTTATAAGTCAGTTAGGAGTTAGAGTGGTTAGCTAGATGTTGGTATATAAACAAAGAGTTTTAGAGAGTGATGTATCTTGGATCACTTGCAACGAATCTCTCTTTTTGTATTTCTTCTAATTCTTCTCCATAATCATTCTTACATTCTTATTGTTTTTGTATTCAATAGTCATTGAATTTACTTGAAAAATGGAAAGATTGATTGGTATCAAGTGGTATCAAAGCAACTTTTAGCACTTGTGAGAAATGATGGTGAAGGGAAATGGAGATGCAAAGAAGGTTGAAGAATGCATTGACAACTTGACTAAGGTAATCTCCGATCTTGCAAAAAAACAAAAGGATATGGCCTATCAACATAACTTGGAGATAGCAAAAATCAAAGAATTCATGAAAAAAATATGCATAATAACAAGGGAAGGCAAGCTAGCTTAGGTCAAGATAGGGAGTTTTAAAATCAAGAAGAGTATATTAATGTAGGAGTTCAAGGTGAGGAAGATGATGGTAGACATGTTAATTTCAATGGAGAAAATAGGAACCATAATAGAGGAATATGTAGGTTTAACACAAGATATCAAGCTAATATTAGGCTATCTAAAGTGGAATTTCCGAGTTTTAATGGAGAGGATTTGGAGGGTTGGATTTTTAGGTGTGAGAGGTTTTTTTGAGATTGATAAAACACCGAGGAAACTAAGGTTAATCCGGCTTCTATACATTTAGAATGAGAAGCACTAGAATGGCAACAAGTGTTTGTTAGAATGAAAGGAGAAAATGTTAGACTCGGATTGGGATGAATATGTGATCGCATTAAACACAAGGTTTGGTGCAATGATTGATAGTGATCCTATGGCTGAATTAATGAATGCGAAACAGGTTGGAGATGCTCGGAATCATCCTAAGAAGTTCATTTCTCTAGTGAATAAACTAGCATTACTAGAAGACTACATAGTGAACTGCTTCTAAGGAAGCTTGAAAGTTGAATTGCAAGTGTCAATTTGAATGCTTAAACCTAGAACCCTAAAAGATGTAGTTTCCTTAGCTAAACTATAAGAAATTAACCCTAAAACCTCAAATTATGGACCTAAATACCATTAGAGAACCAATTTCTACCCTACTCGCTTATGCTAACGGACTTGTACTCGTGAATAATCAACGAAACAATACATATACACCCTTCTAACATACACCGCAAACTTCAATTCACATGCAAACTACCGCTAATCCTACTCATAATTCCAATAATCAAAAAGGCTAAATTGATGAATTGATTAATCTAAAGCGAGGTTGGAGACGTTCGAATCATCTTAAGAAGTTCATTTCTCCGGTGAATAAAATAACATTACCGAAGACCGCATAATGAGCTATTTCTTAGGAAGTTTGAAAGCTAAATTACAAGTTTCAATTCGAATGCTTAAACCTAAAACCCTAAAAGACGCTATAAGAAATTAACCCTAACACCTCAAATTATGGACCTAAATACCATTACGGAACAAATACCTACCATATCGCTTATGCTAACGGACTCGAATAATCAATGAAACAATACATATACACCTACCCTTCCAAGATACTCTTCAAACTTCAATTCACATATAAACTACTACTAATCCTACTCATAATTCCAAGTAACTAAAAAGCTTATTGACCTTACCCCATCAAGTCCAAAAAGGCAATTCGAGTGTTCAAAACTAGAAAATTTTCAACCAATAAGGAGTTGGACGAATGAAGATTAAAAGGGCAATGTTATTTTTGTGATGATAAGTATTTCTTAAGGAACAAGTGTAAAGGGGGATAGGTGTATATGCTGAAAGTAGAAGAAAATGGTGAAGTAAGGGACAATGTGGAGCTAGTAGTAGTCGAATATACCGAGGTTTGTGAAGACTAGCATGTGGGGGAGTTATGCCGGATCTCTACAAGTGCGAGTGTTTGGGGAAAATCATTATAAAACTATGAGGGTTAAAGGGAAACAACAAGGGTGTGGAATGGAGATTTTGATTGATACCGGTAATACCCATAATTTTCTAGACATTAGGTTTGCTAAGAAAAATAATTATAAATTAACCATGATCAAACCGAGTGACTACTAAGGTAGTCGGGGAACCGAGATTGTATGTGATTTGGTATGTGAATCATTTAAGTGGAAAATGCAAAAACAAGGTTTGAGACTAGAGTCCTTGTCCTCGCAATTGGGAATCTATGACATGATTCTAGGCATAGAATGGCTATATGGTCTAAGAGATATAGTTGAAAACTTCAAGTCATTGTGGATGAAGTTTTGGTGGCAAGTGGCAAATGTTGACTTTGCAAGGGAAATCTACTAAACTTCCTAGTTCATGGGAGGAAAAATTAAGGAACACAATACTTAACGAGATAAGAGGAACTTAATTGGCTCCAGTTAAACCAATTATTGAGCGATGAGTGAAGATCAAATAAAGTTATACAAGATAGATGAAGTGGAGTCGGTTCTCGTAAAAATTCAAGTTGTCCTAGATTCATTTGGTGATATCTTCGAAGAACCTAAAGGATTACCTCCTTAACGAGCTCATGATCATAAAATCATTCCGAAATCAAGATAAGAACAAGTGAACATGAAGCCTTATCGATACCTCCTTGCCTAGAAGGATGTCATTGAACAAATGATGCAAGAAATGCTAGAGGTAGGAACTATTCAACCTAGCTCTAGTCCATTTGCTTCTCCAATTGTGTTAGTGAAGGAAAAAGATGGATCATGGCGTATGTGTATGGATTATAGACGAGTTAACCGGATCACCATTCGTGACCAGCTTCCCATTCCAGTTATTGAAGAACTTCTCGAAGAATTACAAGGATCGGTAATCTTTTCTAAACTTGATTTAAGGGCAAGATATCATCATATCGTAGTTTTTGAGTAAGACATTTTAAAAATCGCATTTAAAACTCATAATGGTCATTATAAGTATCTTGTGATGCCATTTGGGCCTACTAATGCCCCTAGCACTTTTCAAAGTCTTATGAACCACATCTTTCGACCTTTCTTAAGGAAATTTTTTTTAGTTTTCTTTGATGATATCCTAGTTTACGACAAATCTTTATTTGATCATGTTGAGCATTTAAATCTTACTCTTTCAATTCTTAGACAAAATGTTTTGTATGCAAAAAGATCCAAATGCACTTTTGGCACTCCAAAAGTGGAATACCTTGGCCATTTCATTTTCACCTGCAGGAGTCCGGACCGACATAAAGAAGATTGTCAGTAGTTTAAGCATGGCCTCAACCAAAAAAATTTTAAACAATTGAGGGGTTTTTTGGGCCTTACTCGGATATTATAAACAATTTATTGAAAATTATGAGAAGATGGCTAAACCTTTGATCGATCTACTAAAGAAAAATGCCTTTCAATGAAATCCTCATGCTGATTTAGCTTTCAACTAGTCGAAAGCTTCCATGTTTGACACTCATGTCCTAGCTCTTCTTGACTTATCAAAAGAATTTGTTGTGGAGATAGATGCATCTAGAGTTAGTATTGGAGTTGTGTTAATACAAAAGTGGTCATCCGATTACATATATTAGCAAAGTTCTCTCTGCTAAACATCAAGGTCTATCTCGTTTGTGAGAAAGAGTTGTTTTCCATCTTGTTTGTAGTGAAGAAGTGGCACCAATACTTATCCAAGCAAGCATTTCATTATTTGAACCGACCATCAAAGCTCGAAATACTTGATTGAATAGAGATTGCACATTGCATTTCAACACAATTGGTCGATCAAACTTATGAGATATGACTATGATATCGAGTATAAAAAAGAAAGGGAGAATAAGGTGGCAAATGCTTTATCTCGATTGCCTAGTGCTGAGGTTTCGGTTTTAGCAATGTCCTTTATCTCTACTGCAGTTCTTTTTAAGGTGATCTCTTTTTGGTATCGGGATCCTTACTTGAAGAATCCGATTGAGCAACCGAAAAGCATCACTCCTCCCCGCTTCTAAATATTATGGAAGAATGATCGGTTGTTTAGAAAACACAAGTCGATGGTGGGACATGATCTTCCCTTATAGCAATCCTTGATTTCTTTATTTCATGACACTCGCTATAGCGGGTCATGTGAGGGTGAAAGCTACAACTAAGAAGTTAGCTACCGTGTTCTATTAAAAGGGGCTATCTAAGTTAGTTCGTGAGTATGTTCGCAACTACCCCATTTGCTTAGTAATGTAAGTATGAGACAATTGTTACCCCTAACATGTTACGACCATTGCCTCTACCCCAAGCCATCTTTATCGATATTACTATGGATTTTATTGATGGTTTATCCTCGTCTTCCGGTAAGAGTGTTATCACGATGGTGGTAGATAAACTAATAAAATATGGTTATGTTATTGCTCTCGCCCATTCGATACTACTACCACAATAGCTCAAGCATTTTTGGATTGTGTTTTCAAGTTGCATGGTCTCGCCTAATACGATTTTATCAAATTGAGAATTGATTTTCTTGAGCAAATTTTAGAAAGAATTGTTTGCTTTGCAAGGAGTTTCGTTACACTTCTCAATAGCATATCATCCATAAACCGATGGCCAATCTAAAATGGTGAATCGATGCTTACAAACCTACTTCGTTGCATGACATCTTCCAATCTTAAGCAATGGAGCAAATGGTTATCTCTACCGAGTACTCGGTATAATACCAATGGGCATTCTACCTTTAAAATATCCTATTTTAAAGCCTTGTATGGATATGTTCCTCCTTTACATCTACCCTATATACATGACGATTCTAAGGTAGAAGTAATAGATCATCTTTTAAGGGGAGAAGGAGGATATGTTTGGTATTACCGAAATATCATCTCGCTCATGCTCGGCTTCGTATGAAGAGCCTAACCGGCAAACATCACATTGATGTGGTGTTTTAGTTTGGGAATTGGGTTTATTTGAAATTATAGGATTATCGTTAAGGGTCAATGGCTCATTGTGCTAATTAGAAGTTATCCCCTCATTTTTATGGTCCATTTCGCATCATTGATAAGGTGGGAGCGGTGGCTTATACCTTGGATCCGCCTAACTCAACTCAAATTCACCCTACCTTTCATATGTCACAATTACAACCTCGTTCGTGGTGATATTTCGCCCACATTCCATCACCTTCCAAGTTCAATGTCCATCCCTATCGTTTGGTTATACTTGGACGGGAAGATGGTTAAAAGAGGAAATGTGGTCGCTACCAAACTTCGATCCATTAGTCCCATAGTTCTCTTATCGATGCTACATGGGAGTATGTGTGACGATCAAGATCATTGAAACATAGCATATGCATGCTTGTGTGTGTTTAGAATTAATATGCTCGATGATTGATACTTAAATTTTTGCTAATGCTTGTGATTGTTGTCGAAAAGACAACTATGTCAAGACATGCCATATTCATTGTCGAAAATAACAATGTCTCGATGCATCGGCTTCGTTGTCGAAACTACGGTGCCAAGACAAGCTTATTTCGTCGATGAAACCGTTGCATCCAAACTTGTCGCTTTCGTTGACGAATTTAAGCCCAACCATGCATAATGACATGTTAGTCCTTTTATTTTGAAAATCACTTAAGGACACATTAATTATGATTTGTGCTTGAATTAAGGGACTTGATTATATAGATTAAACAAATTAAAGGGACTTACTTTTTCCTTTAGTGAGTGGGAATCTAGGTGTCACCACCATGCTTTGCATGGGTGACTTGGCCAAAGAGGTGTCATCCTCCATAATTTTTAAGCACTTTTTTTATGCATGGCTGGCCTATATAAAGAGAGAGTGAGACCATAACTTTTTTTTTTTTTTGCCATTTGAGACTTCTACAAGAGAAAAGAGAGAGTTACTTTGAGTGGGAGCTGCCGTAACTTGGGAAGTCGTCGCCATTTTTGGCTAAGAGCTAAACCAAGTGCAAAGAGGGTCTATTGTGGTATATTGAAGCATTAATCAATCTCATATCTCTAGACCGGGTAAGTGTAATCCATTCAACAACACTACAAGACCTAGGTTTAGGCATTCTAAACATGTTAAACTTGATTATTGCTATGTTTGTTTGCTAAATGAAAAGAGGTTAAAACTTGATGCATGTTGACTTCGGATCGACTACCAAGCTTAGAATTATCATGTAAACCCTAGACAAATATGGGCTCGAACTTGGTGTGCCTTTGTGGCCAAATGGAATGCTGAAATTTGTTCGGATTGAATTCCGTCGAAAATGCTTAGATTGTATTCCGTCAAAATTGCTTAGCTTGTATTCCGCCAAAATTGCTAGGCTTTTATTATGTCAAAATTGCTTGGCTTGTATTCTTTCGAAATTGCTTAGCTTGATGAGTTATAACATGTCTTGAATTAGCTTTAATGCGTAGAGGTTTTAGCATAGTTATGTTAGTTGAATGCATTGATGATATTTGGTTGCTCAAGCATTGAAAACATGTATTCATGGCATGACATGACATAGCATTGGTTTTCATGACTCATGTGTTTTTACTCATGTTTTACACGAGAAAAGAAGTCATGTGCATGAACATTGAAATGTCACCCTTGGGAATGATCCGGTGTATACTTAAGGTTTGAACATAGAGAGGCCACCCTTAGGAATGATCCGATGTATACTCGAGGGCTGGTTCTCGGCTAAACATTGTCCGCTTCTATGATTTTCAAGGTTTTAAAAGAGGACCGGATCGGACATTCGACAGGATATGTCCGAAAGATAGAAAATGTATTTCTTCATGAAAATATGCTTCCATAAACTCATGCATGATTGCACTTACCGAGCGTTAGCTCATTTCTTTATATCTTGTGGTGTAGATGATCGCAACGATGCTTACGAGTAGGTCGCCACGAAGATGGTGCTCGCTAGACGCTTGTGGAGTTTGTCGAAAGGTGTACTTTCGTCTAGGCATTTAAGTCATAGGCTATGTCTAGTATGTTTAAATTTCATAGCATGATTTTGTTTGTAAATGTTGAATGTAAACGACTTTACGACCAAGACAAGCATGTAAAAATTTATTTTGAATGAAATGAATTATTTTTCCCAAAGCTTGTGTTCCTTATGTTTATGTTTCCTTTAATGTTTTGGTATTCCCACATAAAGCATTCATAATGTTTTCACATATCTGGACCCTTAGTTTTCGCTACGAATTCATATGACGATAGGTCGTCATGAATTGCAACAGACTTAAGTCACTGCGGATACGAGTCACTCGGTGTAGTTTGTGTCAAAAAATTCTGAATCACGATGCAACTTGTGCGTCGACGAAAAAGTTTCGGATACGAATTGAGTTTTTAAGTAAGCTTTCAAGCCAAATGTCTTCCGTTGTGCATTGCATGTGTCACGTATGGTTTCGGGTCCTAAGGCATCGACACGCATTCAACAAGCGCTAGACGTGGCCGCAACGCACCCGGCCCTCGCTGGTCGTGTGCGTTGTAGTTGAGTCCAACGTTTTGTGAATGTTCGACACTACCGTAACACTCTAGCCTCCCTCATAGGGCTCGGGGTGCTCTAGTATGCCTTCGATTTACGAGTCAAATTTTTAGACCGCAACTTAAGGATAAGGTTTTTCAATAGGAGATTATTGATACAAGGCAAAGTTCTTTAAGGAATCAACACGTTACGAGAAAGGGAAATGAGAATTCAAATTGCAATGTCGAAGAGGATGAACTATAAGTAGCTAGCTGAGCTAGAGGAATGATTGGTTGGCATTAAAGTGACTTAAAGACAGTCGGCATTCGACTAACTAACAAGCCACGAGTTAGAGAAGGTTACAAGTTAGTTAATAGTTAGTTAGCGATCTATTACAAGTCGGTTAGGAGTTAGAGTGGTTAACTAGATACTCGGTATATAAACAGAGAGTTTTAGAGAGTGATGTATCTTGGATCATTTGTAATGAATCTCTCTTTCTATATTTCTTCTAATTCTTCTCTATAATCATTCTAGCATTCTCATTTTTTTTTTTGTATTCAACATTCATTGCATTTACTTGAAATAGACTACCGATTCTTCAATTCAACTTGAGTTCTTCTTACTCGGAAAGATTGATTGGTATCACACTTCCATTTCTCAAAAGTTTGGCCAGTTTTGATTAAGGATTTGTTGGTTCTCACTCCCTTATAGATTCCATCCTTTAGCTTTTAAGAAAAATCAACCCAAAATGTTGCATACTATTAAAAAAAAATAAATCAACAAATCACAAGCATTAAGAAAAAATACGTCACGACACATGATAATTTTTAATCTAATGTGTTACATCATATGGTAATTTTTATCATATATTATCACCAATCGAAATAATCACTGAATTTCAATAAGAGGGATCACATTAAGAAAAAATTAAAGAATACAAGAAAATGATGAATAAAAAAAAAAAAAAAACAAAGAGATCACATTAAGAAAGTGTCAATAATAGAGAAACGTTTTATGTAATTAAACCTTTTTAAATATCAAGAGTCCGAGAAGGCGATCTATGTGTTGCTTTGGGTTTGTCATAGTGAATTTTTGTTTTAACAATCAAAGAATTTATTAGGTAAAATAAAATAACGATAGTAACTCTTTTTTTTTTTTTTATGAGTTTAAAGGATAGATTTGTACATATGTTTAAGAATAGGTTTAATAAGCTAATTACATATTGGAATCAATAGGTAGTGTGTGTATATATATATATATATTTGATTCATGCATTCAAAAAATAAAAAATAAAAAAATAGTTGAAATTTATGAGTTAGATTTTTAGTTTTTTCATGTTCTAATTTATTATTATTATTATTTATCGAAAGGATCATGGGCTTTCAGGCTACACAATAGAAAGAAATCATCTCTCATTATGTAATCACAAAATAAACTTGAAACTATTAAGATTTGAACATTGTTTCACTAGAAAAATTAATTGAATATACAACAGTTAGACTAAACTAAGCCTGCTTCTGTTCCATTATAAAATACAATATTGATTATAATTCAAACTTGTAGTTACAAATTCCAACTAGTATATATCCAAAGTGTTGCCGCAAAGTGAGTCATACAGCACTTTCATATGTTCATCTACACAAAATACAAAGTTCAAAATAATTATTTAAAACGATCATACAAAAAAATTCAAAGAATAGATGTACTAAAACATGTACTCATGTGTTATTGTGAGATTAGTTAAAACAAAAGACTACAAAGTTAAATAATATAATATTATTAATTAAATATTATTTGGTATAAATATGTATTTTATTAAAAATATATATAATAATTAGTAATTAAAATAATGATGTGATAATTTTTTAAATTTTAAATGATTAATTTTCATCGTATGTTCTTCATTTATAATTTGTTCATCAGATAAAAAGATCACTCAAAACAAAAATATAAAAAATATTTTATCAAATCAGAACCAAATTGAAATATTTCAAAACTCATTTGGCAAAAGCTAAAAAAATATTTCTACAAAAATACAAAAATAAAAATTAAATGTAATAAAATTTTAATGATTAGAATAAAAAAATTATAAATAAGGATTAAAAAAAATCACTAAAAGCCAAAATAATAGCCTAGCTACCGTCGAAGTCTATTTTATTGTAGTATATTTATTAATTAATGATAAATATATCTGACAGTCTGACTGACTTTTGCTACTTTGTAGTTGGCAGGGTCTCCTTCTCGTGACGTGAAAGGTATGCGACCACATATCCCAACTACTACCTAGGCCGCACTTGAACGCTTGTGCTGGCTAACTAATTTACCACTAGTCTACTGCTACTACCATTTCAACAAGAATCGACCGACATATTTGCAAACCCTGCTCAGGCAGCTCCTCTCTTCCTATACAAGTAGAAAAACCACCACCACCAAAACAAGGCAAAGGCAATTCACTTACAGAACAAAAGAAGAAGAATGTCAAGTTCTAGTGACCACAAACTTGCTCATGTAGCTCTCCTACCAAGTGCTGGCATGGGTCATCTCACACCCTTCCTCAGACTTGCTGCTTTACTCACACTCCAAAACGTTCAAGTCACCTTCATCACCCCACATTCAACAGTCTCACTTACTGAATCGCAAGCTTTATCTCGCTTATTTACTTCCTTTCCTCAAATCAAGCACAAGCAGTTTCATCTTCTTCCACTTCCCAAGAATCCCGATGACCCTTTTTTCCAACATTTCCAACTCATCAAAAACTCTTCTCACTTTCTTTCCCCACTCCTATCTGCACTAACTCCACCCCTTTCCGTTTTTATCACAGACATGAGCTTGGCCTCTACAATTATTCCCATCACTGAAGCTATTAGCCTTCCTAATTATGTTCTCTTCACATCATCTGCTAAAATGCTTACATTGTTTCTATCCTACCCCACTTTAGCCACCTCAAAAGCTATGGATGACTTAGATGAGACGGATGTCATTAAGATTCGAGACCTGGAGTTGATGCCCAAATCATTGATGCCCCCACCACTTCTGCGAAAGAGCAATAATATCCTAAAGAGTAGTTTTATAGAAGATGGTAGAAAAGTGGCCGAATCAAGTGGAATTCTAGTCAACACATTCGAAAGTTTTGAGCAAGAAACACTCAGAAAGCTAAATAATGGCCAAGTACTCCCGGAGAGGCTACCTTCAGTTGTTTCCATTGGACCTCTTCCACCATGTGATTTCGAGAAGAGCCAGTCACAGTTAACTTGGCTTGATGATCAACCAGCTGGATCAGTTGTGTATGTCAGCTTTGGTAGCAGGACTGCTTTGTCGAGGGAGCAAGTGAGAGAGTTAGGTGAAGGGCTGGTGAGGAGCGGTAGTAGGTTTGTCTGGGTGGTGAAGGGTGAAAAAGTGGATAGAGAAGATAATGAAGGATTGGAAGAGATAATGGGAGATGAACTGATGGAGCGGGTGAAAGAAAAGGGATTGGTAGTTAAGAATTGGTTAAACCAGGAGGATGTATTAAGCCACCCAGCAGTTGGTGGATTTTTTAGTCATTGTGGTTGGAATTCAGTGATGGAGGCTGCATGGCATGGAGTGAGGATCTTAGCTTGGGCCCAACACGGGGACCAGAAAGTAAATGCAGATATTGTGGAGAGGATTGGACTAGGGACCTGGGAGAAGAGTTGGGGGTGGGGTGCGGAGATGGTAGTGAATGCAGCAGAAATTGCAGAAAGGATTAAAGAAATGATGGGGAATGAAGCATTGAGAATTCGGGCATTGGGCATCAAAGAAGAAGCTAGGAAAGCAGTGGGAGTTGGTGGGAGTTCTCATAAGGGACTGGCAGAACTCATCAACCTGTGGAAGAAGTTATGAAGTTATGATAATATCCTATATCATTCCTTTGTATGTTCTGTATCTTGATTTGTCTGTAACCAGATGAACAAGGATTAGATTGGTAAAATAAAAGGCTAAAGAATAATGGGAATGTTATGAGAAGCCACCTCCCGTTTGCATTTCTACCCAAAAGCTAGTCCAACGACAATTCACTCTATGTCACCCACAAACTATTCTAACCATGATTTAGAATGCCTAATCTCTCATCTGTTGATATGATTTTCTTGAAGAAAATAAAATAACAGTTTGAAGTTTGAAAATAGAAAAAAGAACAATGAAAATTAAAAATAATGGTTATCATTGACAAGACTCGTTCAAGTGATTGCATCACAGTATAAGACACGCAGTGCAGTACAGCATATTATCCTGGTGTGAAGTGCAACCATTAGCTATGAGCAGGATTTGCACAATTTAGCTTCTGCCCTACTGATGATTTACACAAACAGAAACATCATGACATCATGCGCAGGCATGCGACATACAGCAGCATTGATTCACGAGAAAATTTACAATCAGTTGCATTGGCCTGATTTTTGTAATGATTTTTCATCCTTCTTTTGGAGGATGTGTTATCCTCTCTTCTGTATCTTCGAATCAATCTCTCTTTAATGAACTTTAACTCTTTTCATAAATGAAACAATCTCATAAAGGATTAAAGATAAACTTCAATGAACTTTAATTTGGAGGATGTCTTACCTTGCCTTGCTCTTTCGGGTCTTGACCGCCTCAGCTCCTGCAACCTCTCCACATTAGGCATTCTCAAAACTGTTGATTAATAAGTCCCAAAATTCCCAACAATCCTTTTCTCGGACTCCAAGCTCACCTTGGCCTCAAGTTGGTTTGATAGAGCAGACTGAATCAAACCCACATGTAGAAACCACAAAAGAACCAGTATTCACTGCCCTCTTCACCTTCATTCTCTCCATGAACTCGAGCTCTCCACATATATCTAAGTAGTCACACCTAGCGAAATTTTCAATATAAAATTCATAAAATAAAATCCACCATTGAAAAATATGTACTTCATAGAACTCACATGTTATGATGCCAACACTTCACTTAAATTTGTTTTATAAATATAAATGTTTATGTTATAGTGTTAGAAAAAACTCTTTAACACACTAGCATTTGCTATTTTAAGTTACAGTAATTTAAATCAGTTCGGAAAGGAAGTGAAACTGTGAATAGAGAGGAAAAGGGAAGGGAAGGAAACCTTTTGACATCTACTACTTGGTTGATCGTGTTTGTGAAAACTTTCCTATTGTCTATCCCTTCCCTCCCTTAAGAAAAATTATTTAATTCCCATTCCCCAACTTACAAATTCAAATGAGTGGAGAATATCACCTCAAATTCCCTTTCCTTCACTTCCATCTTTCTATAATTCCTCTCCCTTATCCTTTCCTCCAAAATTCCCAAACACAAAGTTAGATGCATATGCACACAGATACACATGAAAGCATACTAAAATATGAAGAAATGAAATGGGCACCCAGTCTTGACACAGACAGTCATGATGGGCTCACCGTGGAGGCAAAAGGGCCCAATGCAGTTCAATATGAGATTTGTATGGGTGCAGAGGTGGTGGAAGGAAGGTGGGTAGTGTTGCCTGTAGTTGGCTAAGGCCGAAGTTCTGAGAGGAGAAGATGAAATTTGAGGAACTTGAGGGCTTCTTTGACTACATATCTGCCAGTGAAGCCTGAGGCTCGTACAATTATCATGGAATAGGGAGGAGATTGAGAATGATTGGCTTGCATGCTTATGGGTTTGTTGTGGTGTGCATACAGATGCATGCCAAGTTTTGAAGTTCGGTAAGTGTATGGGGTTAGTTTGATCAGAAGCGACGCATCAGGTTTTTGGGGGTTTGCATGATGTTAGCTAAAGACAGGGAGAATGTTAGGCAAGTTTCTGCCATTTGGTTTACCAGTTTGAAGGGTTGATCTACACAATTCGGCGGAAAGCTAGATGCAAAATCACTGTCAGATTTAATCGACTAGGATCTCCTGAATGAGGAGGCAATATTAGGCCTTTAAGTTTTCACTACTTAAAGAAGAGAGCATTAATTTGATAGTTGAGATAATTACAATGTCCATGAGAGTACTTGCAAATACCTCATCTAAACAACCAGCCCTCTTCCGATAGCATCACCAAGGATCAGCAAACCCTCTTGCAGTGCTTGTAACCGAGCTGCTGCCTTGAGTAAGCTCACTGGAGTCAGCTGCTCAGAATCCCGTTTCTCTTGCTGCATATTGGAAGCATAGAAGCCTCGTAAGTACAGGTAATATACAGACATATCCAGAACAACATCTCTCTTAGTAATTTCATCAAACACTTTACATGCGTCACTAATATCAGTCAGTGACGAACCCACCAAGAAAGCATAACTACTCGATTTCTCTTCCAAATCTAAACAGCATGATTCGGTAAAACACAAGGTGAACTTTGCACAGCAAGTTAGAATGTTGGAACCCAATAAAAGAAATTGTTTATGAAATCTGATGAATAAATTCATGTTTAAGCAAGCAAAACTAGTGAGAGAAACTCATTCTTCAATCGATATAAGCAAAACCCAGATGGGGAAATTGAAAAACAAAAATAAAAGAAACTTCACATTCAAAGCTGAAATCTTTGCTTTAATAATCTTTCTTGTTCATAGGTCCAACAACTAACTTTTAAATTTACCGCCAAAGGTATTCCAGTTGTTTGCTAGTTAGGGATGCAAACGACGGCGCTTGGGTTGGTGATGGGGAGTGTTAAAAGTGATATGATGTTAATATTAGTGAGATGATATTTCTAAAAAAAAAAATTGAAACCGTAGTGGTACCAAATAATACCTTATTTTTACCTTCATTTCACTTCTTTACTACCACTATTTCTTTCAACATTACTGCAATTACCATTAACTTCCCTAACACGACGATCTTGAATATATTACAATTATTTTTATTAGTATCATGTTATTATAATTATTTTTATTTTATAAGTATGTCCACCGTTATTTACTAGTAAAACTACTATTAAAAAAAATGTATTACTAATGCTTATTATCATTTTTAAAATCATATCAATCATCTTTATATTATCATCACCGTCAATACTATCATACACTTATCGTGATAATGTCAGCATTAATAATAATGATTAAAATACATAATATTCTTACTTTTTATTTTTTTCTAATTAATGGTATATTGTTATATTTATTAAATTAAGTATTTATTGAGATTTTTTTTCTTCGTACATCCTTGTTAAAAAAATAAAAAGTTTTCAAAAAAAAAAATAACAATAAACATAAAACATTTTTTGGTCTTTTAGAAATTTTTTTTTTTTAAAAAAAAAGTTCTAAAGAGGCTTTTTTTTTATTTTTTTATTTTTTTTATTTTTTTTATGGAGAGCGCTTGATTTTGTTAAAAATCAGTCCCTTTACTTTAACCAAATTGCATTGATTAGTCCTTGTAGTATAAAAAAATAATTAAAAAATCCTTTGACCGGGGTTTACCATCTTGAATTTATTAGTTTTTTTATATTTTTTTAAATTATAAATAAATTTAAAACGTAAGAATTAAACACAGTTTTTTTATGAACCACGAGAACTCAAGAACTTTGTCAATTGTTAAGTTAAAAAGAAAAAGGATGGAAGAAAATTAAATACAGTCAGAGTCAATTTATTTATTTGTTGGACTGGTTGCTACATAGAATTAGAGGCCATGTTTGGAGATTGCTGAAATGATTTATGTTATGATAGCAATTTAAATCTCTGCTCATCGAAGCAAGTTATTTCTCAACAACATTTGCTCTTGATCAGCCAAGACAAGGAAGGAGGCAAAAAGTTCCTGTTTTATACAAGCTATAAGCAGAGTTTCAATATTGCTTATCAGAACATACTAATTTAAGCAAGCAGATGACACGCAAGTTGTGGAAGTCACACACGACAGGAGGCCAAAAAAAAAAAAAACAATTTCACTCTTGGAACTTCCAAACCATGCCTTCAGTTATATTACACACTCTGAACTAACAAATTCATTTTACGTCAGTAGAGACCAGTATCACTTATTTTATCACGAGTAAAGCAAGCTCACCAGGAAACTGAAAAGTGAAGGACACCAAATCAAAGATTCAGAAAATAAGGCATGTACACATTATGAATCTCCCCGGCATGAAAAATTTTGACAGGCCAGGCCATGACAATTCCTTTCTCAAATCTAAATGACTTGCTCTCTAGTTACTTGTGTGGTAAAGGATTATTGATAGGATATCTCTGCCGTGGAGGACGCCTTGTCCTCTTTCCCCATCCTGTTACCTCAAGTCCCAGCTCTCCACAATTAGGTTGCTGAGCTTGTGGTGGACTCACTGCAGTTACAGTGGGAGAGGCAGCAGAATCGGCTGTACGCTTTCTCCCCCTTCCTGCCTTTCTCTTAGGAGAATTTCTCTGTGACAAACCTGACTGCCAAGTGCCACCAGTTGCTGTGATGAGCCCTTCAAACAACTGAAGATCCTCAGTCACAGCATTCCTAGACAAAGAGATGAGACCCGGAAGTACATCTCTTTGAAAGTCCTTCCGCTGCCTTCCTCTCCTCGCCTGACCTCTCCGAGGACGTCTTGGCAATGATGTTTCGTCTTTTGTGTTGTCCAAAACCATAGGCTCGTAATTATGCCCTTCTACCATGGTTTCAGTTAAATTTAAGGTCATATACTCAAAAAAATCAACTTCAACTGGTTTCGGATCTTCACAATCAGTACAATTCTCATGCACTGAAAATGATCCAATCTCATTCTCAACGTAACCCTCGTAAGAAGAAATTATCTCTGCGAACCACTGAAGTGAATCGTTCACTTCAGCTTCCAATTCATGGCACGAAGCATCATCTTGGAACTTGTGCACACCAGAAGATGAGATGGCAACTAAAGCCTCAGCTCCAGCCATTAAAAAGCCTTCATGAAAGTCCCTGGATTCATCTGTTACTGGCTGAAATGGTTCTTCAACTTTGCTTTCTAGAAATTCACCTCCAGACATGATGTCTATTTCATTTTGAAGGACAACCGGCACCTCCAAATCTATCTCAATTGCAATCTCAGCCTTGGTTCTCAAAGAACAATGATTTGCTTGAGCCTCTTCTTCAGTCACTCTCACATTCAAATCAATTTGATGTCTTAAACTAGCACTACAATCAACTGAAAGTCCATCCGCATTTAAACTCTTCATGTTTTGGATCTCCACAGATTCAGATTCAATAGGATCCTGATTCAGATCAGTATGAAGTAACCCACCTTTAATAGGGTTAGCACCATTAGTCTCTGAAACACAACAACTAGGCTTCACGCCAGAGATTGCAGACGGCAGGTCTTTGGACAAGTGCTTTTCAAAAATGGGAACGCCAAGAATCTTCCTATTGCTTGAACAGTCACCTCCTATTCTTCTGTCTTCAGCATCATGCACATTTGTTGCTGATGATGAATCCTGAACAAAGTTTTGACAGAGGCTCTTCATTATTCCAGAATTGCAAGCAAACTGCTCAGTATATTTTCTTTCCATGGAATCCGAATTCACCTGATGAGAGTCAGAGATTTCACCAGGAGATTTTCCATTACAAAGTGAAATAGTTCTCAGCCAAGACAACCCTCCTAGTGGAGTTTCTTCCTTCCTTTGAATACCAATGGAAATAAGATTTGAATCAGAAACTGCTTCATTTGGATGACTTTTTGGAAGTACTGTATTGAGGTTTACTTCCTCTGCAGATTTTATATTCTCCAGCCAGCCTGAAACCCTAAGGTTATTTAGAGAACTACGTGGAGGAACCAGTTCAGAAGCAGAATTACTAGCACTGTGTTCATTCGAGTGACCAGCCAATGCATGGTAAACTTGTGATTCCTTGGACTGCAACTGAGAAACAACAGAGAGGTCATTTTTATGGGACAATTCAACTCCTGGACTTGAAACAAAATCCACTTTTTCTTTAACAATCGACCTATCTGTAGAAACTTCACGGCAATGCATCAATGCTGCTGAACTCTTATTTGATTCAGGTAAGGTATTAAAGCAAGGGTTTCCCTGAACAAATATTGCATTCTGTCTCAAGCTACCTGGAGGCTTCTTCCAAGATGAAATGGAGGATGAATCGGAATTGACTACATTAGATTGAGGAGCAAGTGGCTGCAGAAATTTATCTGAAGTCATAACAGATGCATCATGATTTCTGTCACAGATTTCTACACCAAAAATTGTCTTCTTTCTTAATTGTTCCGGTTTACTCTGATCAGGTGCATGGGCTTTCGTGCAGCCAACATGCGATGATTCACTTTGTGTAGGCAAATATTCTCCATAAAAACTTCTACTGAGAGTTCTGGTGCTTGTTTGGCCTGAAAAAAGGATCAAACCATCAGTTGAAACTGAATAAGTCTACACAGCAATAAGTATATTGCAAGAGTTTTCAATTGTCTCCCTTATTCTAAATCACATAAAGGAAAAGAAAAACCATGTTGGAGGTTTTAAGCTCCAATTGCAAAGAAGAATTCTGTGACATAATATTAGAAAGTAAAGAACTTTCAAGTACCATAAGGTTAATGCATTATCTGTGAACACATTAGCGCACACACACCAGATGCAAGCACATCCAATTGTACATAATATGCAGTCAAAACTTTCTTCTTTTCCATTTTTTATAAATTATTTTAATAATTCATTAGAAAATTCGGTTGAAAGAGAGTTGATTTGGTATAGTTAAGTTTTTCAAAAGAACTGAGTTGCATTAGATTTAGAGTGAGAAATCTTAATTCACCCGTTTATCAACAGGGGGGAGAATAAACACATTAGAAAAAAGTGAAGCAAGGGGAAAAAAATCGTAGCCACTAGGATACTTGTAAAGTAGTGACTGATGCAAATTTGCAGATCCAAGAAAAAGGAACACCAGTAGCTGATATGAACAGGAAAAAACTTCAAAAAGTGTTGCTGAATAAGTCCTTACCAGCATTAAAGTTAAGAGGTGGTCTGCCTCTCTTTCCCCATTCATTATCTAAATGCAGATTGCATTGGCCAATTCCCTCATTCTTTACTTTAAAGGGTCTTTGAGAACCTTTACATTGGAAGCCCGAGCATGAATTTGCAGATAAATCCTGCCCTTGTATCTCCTCTTTAGCGTGGGTAACCTTGCCTGGAGTATCAAAAGAAGTTGTAACATATGCTCCCTCAACCTTGAAAGGCTCATTCAAATCTGTAAAACCCTGGTTCCTCCTTAAGTGCATATTGGAACTAAAAGCATCACCATTGCAGCCAGAGTACACACTACTTGGGGTGGACATATGGCCATTTTTCTCATAAGTAACCTCACAATTCCAATTCGGAGTGTGAGTTTCCACCCCTGACCCTCCAAATGCTCCCTGTCCTTCCTCTTCATCATTTATGTATTTCTCAGCTGGCAGTTCAAGGTCAAACAATCTCCGCTGAAGCTTCTTGTGCTTGTATTCAAGAGATACATCATCCTTAATCCTGGAGCCATCATGTGTAGAACCACATCCTGATTGCGTGTTCTGCACATTAATGGAACTAAAATGTGATTGGGCACTGTCAGCACCTGAAGCAGATGGTATATGACAATTCATAGCCACCAAAGGCAAACTGGAATTATGCCACCTCCTGTGTTCCTCTTCAGGTGGAAAGGCAAAAGGATTTGATTGCGATGTTCCTATGCGATCAAGGCATATGACCGATTCTTTGCTTCGGACTTCATTCATTATGTCCATTTGCGTTTTGTGAACCCGATGCAGTTCATGGACCTGCACAATCAAATTTCCACAGACATAAATATAATGTTTTGGTCAATCAAATTTCAATTATTTAAGCAAAAAAAAAAAAAAAAGGGACATTTTTACACTATATTTCATGAACTCAGTCAGAAAAGTATTAAAAATCCAATTTTATAATTCAACAATATAAAGAGGAAATAAAACATGCCTGATGTCTGAATGTGTTTTCATGCCTCAGTATGGTTTGCCTCAAGTGTTCCTTGTCACATCCAGAGTACCTATCTATTTCTGGTTTTGCAGCAAGCATGCCATGGTGCTTCCCAAAGGCTTTGTTTTCATGAGGTGAAGGCCAGCTACCTTTCCCATTACTGTCATCCAGATCCCTTGTAGAATAATATCCTGGTATATACATCTTATACAGAAATTCAGTTCCCATTCCTGCAAAAACTGAAAAAAACTTAATAAAGCTCTTAATTAACATGCCAACACTGATATGAAGGATATCTCTTTTGCTTCTATCACAAATGGAAAGGATTTACATGCCAATACTAATATTTTGGTTACAGGAAAAAAGCTACCGGATGAGGAGCATGGTCAAATGATTCTGACAAATAAAACTCATTGCATATTGTAACATGTATAACCATTGGGGAAAAAAAAAAAAAAAACCCTCATCTTTGCAGTCATAAATGATTCATCAATCCCAATACATGGAAAGAAACCACCATGTTATACAAGCAGTGTTATCATATCATATTATTTTCTCATACTTGAATGAGTTCCTCAGATTCGATAGTGAAATTAAATTCCAGCAAACATTGTAGTTAATCTCCCATGTAATAAAGAAGAACTCACTTCATCACTCAATGTAGCAACAAACAAGCACGTTACGAATAAATCAAGACAAATCTAGTCCAAAAATAAAGCAATTAAAAATAATATATCTCCATGATTCAGTCCGGAGAGAGATTCCATTCTGTAGCCAAAGAAATAAATATGTAATATGTCTGCAAGAAGTATGGAGGCAGCAGCTTAGAAGGCCATGCAGATTACCTGTCAGTCAAGAGCTTCTCCCTAGTTGCAAGTGCTCCAAACTAGATATAGTACAGTTGTTGTAAGAGTCACAGCCAATGTTCCAGTGGGTTTTGCATGCTGAGTGTCTTTAAGTGAGCTGATCTAATGGAGCCTTCCATAATTTCTGTTACAGCAGGGAAAAATAGGTCAACCAATACACTGAAAGGAGTTTATATAAAATTAGAAAACAGCACCAAAAGAATTCTTTAACCTCTATTTTCAAGAGAATGCACTTTCCCATCTTTAAAGAAACACTTAGATTATACTCTAGAATTTGTAGGCAATAGAAGTGCACTTGGTAAGGATGGGAGATCTGTAAACAGTATACATTATCTAACAGAAATACGAAACCTATGAAAAATTCAATTTCGTTCAACCCCGATTTCAAAGATAACTAATTGAAGTGCTTCACGGCTATCTAAAACCGTAAAATGGCCAACAATTCCAATGATGGTAATAAAAGAGAACAGTGTATGTGCCTTGGCATGGTGTTCAGAAACTCAAAGTATGCCGAGCTCAAACTTCATTCCATGGATTCCAAATCACTGATCTTGTAGTTGGCGACAGATGGATCATTAGGTGTTGTTCGTTTTTCTTTTTCTAGAGATATGCACTTTGTGTTTGGTTTCTTGAGCATAGATTGAAAAAAAGCACAGTAAAGGAATCAATTCTACCAACTACTGCTCCAACCAAATACAAGTTCAGATTGCAAAACTGAAGAAAAGAAACATTTTCTACAGCTTTATTCAACAGTTGGAAATTAATGTGTAACAGAGAACCCTGGTATTCTGACATTACTACAAAATCGACCTATAAAAAGGGTAATAAATCTCTTCATACTATTGCAATTAGATCCATTTTATGTTACTGACTCCAACAGACAACAAATACTGATGGCATTGAAAATCCTTGCCATTGCTTACTTGAAATTCCGGTAGACCTTCCCTTCTAAATCAAGTATTCCAGCATTATTGGTAAATTGATAATCTGAACTCCGGTTTTCTATAAAACCTTCCAAACACAAGTCTGCGATTCCAGCTGTATTAATCAAGGAAAGAGAAGCAATTGGTTTTATTCCTGCACTAACAAAGAAGAAAACAACAAGGAAAGATGACGAAAGCAATAACATGACAACATCATACGCACATATTTAAACAACTATAGTTGACTGTGATTAGCATATGGATTAAGGTTAAAGCATAATTGAGAGACCAACATACAGACAAATCAATCATCCATAAAAAATAAAAAATAAAAAAGAAGATTTACCTTAAATATAGCAGCATCCTCACCATCTGATGTCAAAACTTGAGCTCAAAATCACAGAACTCCCTTCAAACTCAACTGCAACTCTATTAAAAATTCCCAGTAGAAGCAAAGAAAGAAAATCACAAAGACGAAAACTAAAGTAGGTGTCTTTGTCATGTCATTGAAAAATCTGAAATCATCGACCATAAAACAAAAGAATTATACTAATAATTATATATATTAGGGAGAAGCTCAAATCTGCTAGGGCCAGTATCGGACAAGTGAATTAGATAGAACGATCCCCACAATCCCAGATAAGAATGGGAGGGAGATGTTTTTCTTTTCTTTTTTTTTTCCTTTTCTCCAAGAAACAATGACTTCGAATATGTCAACTTGTGGTCTCACATTATTATTGTAATATACTTTGCTTCAGCTCTGGTTTCAATGATTTCTTTCACTTTCTTATTATTATTTATTTCTTCTTTCATTATTATTATTATTATTTTATGGGGATTTTAAGGATGTGAAAGATATTGGGCCATTTGTTTTCACATTTTCTAGATTCTCTTTCCTTCCATGCTTTTGGGGTACACGTAAGTAATGCGAACAGCAAACGGAAGTCAAGACTTTAACAAGGATTTATAGACTCCTGGTGGTTTTCCCTCTTCCAACAACACAGTTTCCCGAAGTAGCTGACCCCTCTTTCCATGGGATCCTTCTACCAATTCCATCACCACGCGCAGCTATTTGCGTGGAATACAGTAAGATGGTTCTGGAAAATTGAAATTTGTCTGAACCTAATTACAGTCTAAGCCAATAAGCTGCATGTATCAAAAATTTAAATCACAGCCGACAATTTTTTTTCATTATTTGGCTCTATAGGAACCGTTTTATCTCTCAAGTTCAACCTTGTTTAACAATTTTTTATTCATTGATTTTAATTTTGTGTGGTTTCTAAAAGTATGCATAAAAATTCGTTTTTGTTTTAAAAAATATTAATAAAGTAGCATTTTGCTAATAAATGGTAAGGATCCTATACCATGTCGTTGGAGGGTTTTGTTACATTCAAATTTATTATGATTTGAACCCAATAAATTGGATACAAAATTTGAGCAAAACCTATTAAGTTATTGAAACAAGTCTAATAAGTAATTTTATTTAAGAGTCTATCGGATCGGTTACATTTAAGAGAAGTATTATTTTTCAACCCATTAGGTCCAAAACGCACATTAAACCCAACATATGTACAAAGATCCAATAAGTCACCCCAAGTAATATTGCTAGAGTTCGGCCAAAATCAATGAGGGATGGATTCCGAAACTTAATAAAAATATAGAATTTTCATATGAAAGAAGACACATGATTAGTAACAAATAGTATGAAGGTAGTTAATAGAATAATAAATTCTTAATAACAATAAAGTACGATCCAAAAAATTAGAAAAAATATAGTAATTGGAGCATGAGGAATAACAGAGCAAGCATTATAATGCAAGAGAAAAAAAACATGAATGTATTGTAGTGCAAGAAAAGAAGAACATAAACCACTATAAACGAGCATTGGAGAGAGTGACTCGGTTACTAAAAGGCATGGAGTAGCAGGAAGTTTATGAATATCGGCTAAAGTTAGAGAAAACAAAACACATAGAAATATCAAATATAAGTAGACTATTGCAAAATTACAAATAGTTTAATGAGTATTATCACAAATTTCTCACTTGAATCTTGTTAGGCGGTAGTCAGTGGGCATTAATTTGTAACCTTCAGCTTTTAGGCTATAATTAGTAAGCATTAATTAGTAAGGAATAATTATTGGGCGATAGTTAGTAGGTTGGTAATTGATTTTTAATCCTCTCGCTCATGCTTGCAACCACCATTATTTACAATTCTTCATTAACTATTATGTCCGAAGGATCGGTTTGTAAATACTTATACTTTTTTTTATTATAAGATTATTCAATTCAACGAGTACGATCGCAATAATATTTTTGTAAAAAAAGAAAATTATTTATTCAAGTTTTCATTCATGTTGTAGACTTATAATCTAATGTGTAATTACTTAACACTTAATTTAGTGATTGAATATTGTTATTTAGATTACATATTAAATTTGAAACTTTGATTCCTACTTTAATTTGTATTTTATTTTAAGTTATTCGCTCTCTAATGTTACAATTCAACCCGTTTGGGAGATTAAAGTTTTTTCACGAGGGGTTTTCAAGCCTTTTGCATCCTGCTTAATTCTTTTAATTATAGTTTCTTTACAACGTTAAACCCTAAAATTTAAAAAACAATTATGATAGTTTATATTTACAAGTTTATTTGATTCGTATGCCTACAAAATTAGAAGATTAACTTTCCTATAAAATGCATCTCAATCATCTTTTGCTTCTTTTTTATTTTTATTTTTATTTTTTGTTATAAAGTTTTTTTAGTTGAGACCGGTATAAAAAAAACTCACAATGAATTTAGTGATTGAAAAGCCAATGAGAAGATTATCTCATATAAAATAAATGAAGATAGTTTGGTTGATTGATCCTTTACAACAAATAGTGCACTTAGAATTAAAAAAAATAAAGCCACATGGATTATGTATATCTTCAAGACAAGCCTCAAGTTGGTTATTTTTAGACCTCATGCTTGTGGCTTGGTTTCTTGATCTTATATATGTATATTTACTAATAATTGTGTTTTTTTTTTTTTTTGAACTTATTGGACTACTTATTAAATTAGAACATTGTAATATTTTTATTTATGATAAACTTATTTGACTTTGATTTTTAATGAAATTTCATCGCTCTTTCTTATTCTTTAATAGAATTTGATGGTTCAAGAAAGAAAAAACAATCACATTTCCGAAAATGTAAAATTGAATATATATATATATATATATATATATATAACGTTTCTTATTTTTTTGATATTTTTTTACTAAGAGATATAATAATAAATTATTGTGGTTTTGCTCATCTTTGGAATCATTTGTGTATGAGTGGAACGAGCATAGACAGATCCAAATACGACAATATTGACGAAGGTCCGAGTGGGGCAATGTTTGCAGTTGAGCATGTGCAGCACGGGCGCGTGGTGTGAAAATTTGTCTGGAGGGATGGCTTGGATTGGAAGTCTTCCTTTATTCTAATCTTTGTACGAGAATTTAGATTGTTTGGGTTAACTGTTTAGTTTGTGTTTGATTGGTTCTTTATTCTTGCAGGCAACCCATTATTTGTACAGCATAGGATCATGTTCGTGGATAAGCTCTGCTGTTCTTGCAATTGGTTTTCTCTGTCCCAAACTACTCAGAAAGCTAGATGCCCCAACTCAAAGGCTCTTCAATGTTCCTATCAAACCATCTAAGGACTGTTATGAGGTTGTTGACAGAATTGCTATAATTATGCAATCAATAATAAATATGTTTGGACCATGTTGCATTTCAGAAATTTTATGTTATTCTACAAGTTACAATCAATACTCATTTGATACAAAAACAATAAATATAAAGAAAAAGGATAAATAAAATCATATTACGACCTACTAAAAAAAAAACAGAGAGAGAGAGAGAAAATAAGTCTCCATAGAAATATTCTTATTTTTTTATGGATTTAAATATGATTTTTGTTTTAATTTTTTTCTTTAAAAATAAACTCATGCAATAAATATGATTAGTTACTGTTTAAATATTTACAATAATCTTTTTTTAATGATCTTAAAGCTGTATTTTTTTACGTTATTCCAATGTTTCTAATTCTCTTAAAATTAGTTTCGAGATTTGAATTTAAAAAATTAAAAAAGAAAACAAACATATTTAAGTACTATGCTTATCCTTTGAAGTTACTAATAATATTATGTTAAACTATGGTTAGGTGGTGTTTAACAATTTATTATTATTATTATTATCCTCTGTTGTAAGATAGCAATATTCTAATTGAAATTTTAATCGTTCATCATTTATTTTATTACCACCTGTCTGCACTTGTGATCTGGTTATTTTTTAAGCTACATGTTGGCATCAACTATCACATCATCCGTTACTAATTACAAATAATAATAATAACTACTAATACTCAATAAGACTAAATTATAAATTAGTCCCTTTAATCTTGAAAAATAAATTAATTAATCCTTTTATTTTAAAAAATAATTATTTACTCTCTATATTTTTAAATTTTCTTGTAACTTAATTATTTTTGCTTTTTTTTTCAAATTATCAAGAAAATTAAATAAATAAATAATATTGATGAAAAAAAGATATATGTTATGAAATAAAATAATATTAAACTAAGGGTAGACTAACACTTGTTAGAAGATTAAGTAGTTATTTTTCAAGTAAGGATGATATATATATATATATATATATATAATGTGTAGAGGAATGTTAGTTATAGACACTCTCAGACGTAAAATATTACGAACATATACGTAAATAAAATTGGAATTGTCAACTCCGTGGGCTTGAAAAATATATTTTTGTAAGGTAAGAAGCCGTACCTTGTGTCCACTATTTCAAATATTGGATTACAAATGTACATAACGTATTTTTGTAATTTTTTTTCGAATTAGTCAAGTTCATATTTCAGTTTGATGTTTGTATATTATTGTCATGCTTGCAAGTTAAGATCAGGTAATTGCAAATTTGTGGGCATCTATTTTTTTTTATGAAATTTTGATCTTTTTGAAAAAAGAATCAATTTAATTTAAAAATTGAAGTTATTAAATAAAGTTTTATGAATAGTTTTATATTATTTTTTAATCTAATTAAAAATCATTTTACCATGAAAATTGTTTAGTTCCACTACTGTTTTATTTTTAATTAATAGATAAAATAAGAATGATAAAATTTAATTATCAAAGTTATGATATCATATTAATTGTATGATTTCAAAACTAATAATATAAAGATGTAGGGAAAGGACGGAAGAAGAATTCATTCACAAAACCAAGTTTGTTCTTGGCATTTAAAGCCATCTTCATAGGCCGAGACCCATAACAATAATTGTCTATAGTCAATAGTTTGGACACAAGTAGCGACTTCGATTACCGGATCTGAGTGATGAACGGGGTAAGGAGACATAAAGGCTGGAATATAGATCCATTGAAAGGAGCACTGTTTTCAGCTATGATAAGAAAACAAAAGTAAAACGATGATGAGAGGAAAAAGAAAAAAAAAAAAATCAATTAGATTCAAAATTTTTAACTCTCCGATAAAATCTGAGAAAATATTTTTTATCAGTCTCCTCGCGCTTTTCTCCTTTTCTTTTAAAGGACCTATGGGACGACGTAAAATTTGGATCTCATGATTTTCATGTTAGTAAAGCTACATGGGCCATCTTCAAGGGAAAAAAATATAGCTAGATGAGATATTCAAATCAATAATGTCATAAGAATGTTATTTTATAGGAGAAAATGAGGAGAATATATTTTTATAAGAAAATTAAAATTTTGTAGCATTTGATGATGAGATTGATGTGGAATTCATCGATGAGTTTTTTCAATACAATGACTCGTGTTTTATATATACATAATCTACTTATATGTTTTTCCCCCTTATGAAATAGTAGTAAATTATAAATTAGTTCCTCTTGTTTTGAGAAACTAATTAATTAATTTTTTCTTGTTTCAAAACCCATTCATTAGTCTCTTTTGCTATTTTTAAATTTCTTTTTTTAAGAAATAGGAAAAAAAAAGAAAAAGAAAGAAGAAGTAAAAACTATGAAAAGATCAATAAAAAAGGATACTATTTTTAATTTTTTTTTGTTTTAAGAAATAGAAAAAAATAATTAAAAATTATGAAAAAAAATTGATGAAAAGATGACGTATTTTATAAATTAAAAAATATTAAATTAATTGGGATCAATATTAGTTAAAAAGATTAAATAATTAGGTTTTGAACTAATTAAATCGTTTCTAAAAAACAAGGGACTAATTTATAATTTACTGTATGAAACAGCACGGCTGTAATTGGTTTAGAGCGTTGAAGCAAGGCAGGTAGGGTAGAGATTTGGGGTTTGCTACAGTGCTGTCACCAGCGAATAATGTCAATGTTCTCCTGACTATTAGATTTGACTTCATAGGTGGGTCTTTTTTCATTTGATTTGATTATTTTATTGACACTAGCAATTATCAATGCTCTATTATATGATTTGAATACCTTCTTCATACGAGTAAATGATAAATTAGTCCCTTTAGTTATTAAAAAACAAATTAATTAGTTTTACCTGTTTTAAAAACTAATTATTTAGTTTTTAAGTTTAAAATCTGCTTGTAAGTTAATCATGTTTACTCATTTTTAATTTATTTTGAATTTTTAAGGGAAAAAAAACATGAAAAGATTGATTAGAAAGGAAAACATTTTGTGGAATAAAAATAATATTAAATTAAACATAATCAACGTTGGTCAAAATGGGTTTTACGACAAAAATTGCTCCTATTATATTGCGATTTAGCAATTTCACATTATTATTATCAATTTGTATTATTTGAATTCTAAATTATAAGTTTTTTGAACAAATCTTATCCAAATTCAATTTCTTCGTTTTTTGTAATAGTCAACTCGGTTGATCGTTATTTTTTTTATTGTTAATTTTTTTAAAAAAAATGTTTTTTTTCTCTATTTTGCAAGAAAGAATCTTTCTATTTAAATTTTTCACATATTAATCCTTCTAATTTTCATAGTCAATCAAATTATTATTATTTGTATATAACTTATTTCAATTTTTTAAAACACTTTTATGTAATATTATTATCCATTAAAACAATCAACTTCTATAATTAATAAAATATAAATATTTAGTGGTTGAATTTGATCAATTGAAATTATCAAATAATTAATTTTAACTGACATTTTCTTTTGTCATGCCAATAAAATTTATCATTGTGGTTGTCAATAATTAGATTTTAAATATAGCTGTTATTTAATTTTTTTTTTTATCTTCGCATATTTTATAGGATTTTGTATTCTCGCAATTGATTCAAATATATAATATGTATTTAAAATTGTTAGAGTTAGGAAAATATTTTTAAATTTTTAAAATTTTATTTTATTTTTAGTTTTTTAAAGATAGTTTCAAAAAGTGAAAGCTTTTTTTTTTTTTTTTCCAGAGAGAACTAAAAAAGGTTTAGTAATAAATTAAATGAATTTATTTATTTATAGGTAAACAGGTGTAAAAAAATCTCTCTTAAAAAATGAAGAAAAAACATTTTTAATTTTTTTTAAATAATAGGAAAAAAATTAACAGCAGAAAAAAAATTGAGAAATTGAAATTTTAATTAAATTTGCTCAAAAACTAATATTTTAGGATTCAAATTAAATAAATGGAATTAAAATTTGAAATTGCCAAGTTGCAATAGGACAAGAGTAATTTTGCCATTAAACTGTCACAAATGGCTGAATAATTGTTTTTAAAACAAAAAGAACTAATTAATTTCGGGTAATACTTTATAATTTACTCTTTTTTATTCAATTCTTTTTATTTCAATGTGAAAATTTTCTCAAGTCAATTTATGTATGATAAAAGACTATTTTTTTCTAGATAATTTTAAAGATATGTTTTTTTATGTGGATTTGATATATTTAAAAAGTTAAAAAATTAATTTTAATTTTAATTTTGTTTTTTTTTTTGTTTTTTTGTTTTTTTACCTCCAGATCAATCCGTTAGACTTACTCATTAAAAAATACGCAAAAGTGAAAATGAAAGGGCTTTGAGATGCCAAATCATGATTGCAACACAGCACTAGAGTATCACCAGGGATGCCTTATAGTTAGTGCAAAATCTAATAATGATTAGCAATCTTACATGCATGAAAAATTGAGATAGCAATAATTTATTAAATTACAGTAACAGATTAAACTCTACTTCTGTCTTATTCTCGTCCATCTATTCTTTTTCTATCTAAATCTTTTTTTTTTATTACTGAATTTAAATAAAAAATTTTAAAGATATATTTGGTCATTTTTTCTAATTTTTTTAAATTAAAAAAAGAGAGCAAAACTAGAAAATATATTTTTATCCAAAATATTTTTTATAGATTTAAATTTATCTCTATGATAGCAAATAAATTTTAAATATAAAATAAAAAATATATATTTTTTTAAAATATAAAGAGAGTTTTAGTTAATTTTTTTAATTTTTAAATAGTATTTATAATTATATAATGCCTCATAGTATATTATAATTTATTTATTTTGATTTTGTAAATTTCTTAATTCGACTCAAAAGTGAAAATATAAATTTCTTTATAAATTTTGGTTAAATTAATAAAAAAAATTGTTAGTGTTGGGTCCAATAGTAACATAAATTTATATTCCCATTTTCGAGTTAGATTAAGAAATTTATAAAATCAAAATAAAAAAATATAGTATCTTAGTTTGAGGTATTATAAAATTATAAATACCATTTAAAAGTTTTAGAAAATAATTAAAATTCTCTTAACATGTTTAAAAAGAAATTATAAATATTTTATTTTATACTAAAAAACTACTTACTATCACAAACATAAATTTAACTCCATAAAAGATATTTTTTAATTAAAAAATATATTTTTACCTTCAATATCTTTTTCTAGATTCTATTTTTATTTTTAAAAAGAATAACCAGATATATCATCATATTTTTTAATTTTTTAATTCATATATTTAAATTAGGTATTAAAAAAAAGATTAAAAGAGAAAAATAGAGTAGAGAGATGAGATTAATGTAGGGAAAAAAAAAAAACAAGTTGACGCATGCCTGAATCACGCGAGGCTAATAGTATAATTTAAGACTGTTAGCTCAAAAAGTTAACAAAAAGAAATAAGATTTAAAACAAAAAATAAAATATAAATAAATGAAATTAAGATGAAAAAGAACAAAGAGACATAATAAAAACGAAAGAAAAATAAAAAATAACCTACGACTATTAACCCATTAGATATCCACCATGACTTGAGCACTGGCAAAATATAAGTAGACATTTTGAAAAAGGAGGAGCAAAGCTGCTTTAAAAAGTGTTGCAATGTGAGTAAATTGATAAGAAGGGATGGATGGTCCTAAAGGAGAATAAAGAGGGTGCGAGTGACATGGTGATTGCCAAACATGACTTCGATTTGTTGCCAACCTCACTCATATATACCCTAACTTTCGAACAAAATCTGGTGGGTCTCAAAGTTTTAAATGTGATTCTATTCTAGGATGGTGTCCAATGCACTTCAATTTATTATTAATTACTACGTCTTGTCTAGTTAAATATGAGACTGTGAATTGATGACTTCCAAAATCATTCTTATCTTTTATCCAATTTTGATAGATTTTGATAGATTTATGATGGCCCCCCGTCTACCCGAAAGTCGAAACCTACATTAATTGTCCACCGAACTTTGCCGGTCACATTTACATTAGTGCTTTATACAGCTACAATTATGATTTCTTATTGAGTAAATTATAATTAATCCTTTATATTTTAAAAACTAATTATTTAATCCTTTTTATTCATTTTATTTTTAAAATAGAAATCATAAAAAGATTGATGAAAAAAGATATTTTTAAAAATAAAATAATATTAAATTACAAGTAACCAATACTGAATTAGATAATTAGTTTTTCAAATAAAGAAAGTTAGTTATTTCATTTCTTAAAACTAAAGTGACTAATTTATTATTTTCTCTTTCGTATTAGAGAAATGAAGTCAAGCCACTATTTGAAAATGCAAAAGATAATAAAACTTTTGTTGGTCATACACCAATAAAGATTTAGCATTTATGGAACAGTGGTAGCATCTTGGAAAAAAATTGCAACAAGATGGACCTAATTTGCAATTAAGAATGATGGCCCTTCTTTTCTTTTCTTTTCCTTCTTTCTTCTTCTTTTATATATATAAATATACGTATGGTCCAACAAAAATTCTAGGATTAATTCATTCAGATTTCAAAAGGAAAAAAAAAAGTAGACTTCAGGATTTGGAAGCACATGCAACATTCACTTGGGCTTCAGGCCCAAAATGCAAAAGATGAATACAGCACATACTAACATTCCATTTGGTTCTGAAAAAAATGAGAACTAAATTTTTCTTGTTTGCTCCATATCAAGTCATCTTACAAATCACTATACTTTTCAGAAAAGTATGCTTTGGTGATTTTGTTAGTCCCATTTACAAGCCTCCCTATGGACCATCCACAGCCCATACATCCTCTGATAATCTAGAACATCATCTTCACCTAATATGGATTATTCAAAGAAGTTCCCATATTTTGTGTCATCAAATTTCAAACTTCACCAGACTTTTTTTGGGCCCGTAAGCCAGAGAACCTCCTCCCAAAGCCCAAGAGTCCCTTCTTTATTAAGACCAAAGACAGTTGGGCTACAAGCTGCTACAGTCCAATAACCAGCTTGTATTTCTTCTTTCAATTGCTCTTTCTCCCAACCACAATATCCATGAAAGAACCTAAAATCCCCTAGCCCAACTACATTTCTCTTAACCATTTCAGCTGCACAGCCAGCAGTTTCTTTGGTCCCATAGTACACTCCTTTCATCACTTCCTCAAAAACCCCACTCTTGGCCACCCTATCATTATCATAACCCCTTTCCGGACTCACTAGAAACAACCCTTCCTCTAATGGCCCCCCAAAGAACAATGGCCTCTCGGAGAACGTCCCTGCCACATCAAGCACCGGCGATCTCATTTCCTTGATTGACATAAGGGACGGCCGGTTGAGGATGATGCCGTATGGGCCCACAGGCCCATTTGATAAGAGAAGGATGACCGTTCGTTCGAAAATGTGAACCCCATCAAGCTTTTCTGTGGCAATCAGGAGGCAACCCTTTTCAGGCTCATGGATGGTATGAGCCCATTTGTCCCCAATCGTGATTTGTGGTGGCTGCTGCTGATCCACAACAGCATCGGGGTCTATTGTTGAGGAAGGGTCAATGGGCCTCAGTGCCTGTTCATTGGCAACTAGTCTTGCTCTAAATGACCTCCAGTCAGCTTCAGTTGCAGGTTGACTCTCATCAGCAGATGGTGATGGCATATGGCAACCTGGTATCAATATAATATACAAAGTTTGTGATTAAACTAGGCATGATCATAACTTCTAACAAGAGATATCATATGGGAATAAAATAATCAAAAGATGCTACAAATTTCCAACAAAATATAGACCAAACTGAAGTCAATCAAGGTATGGACTCTTATATATGAAGAGTTACTTACATGTTATGGAAGGGGAGATACCAACTCTTTTGCTCTGAAATGCATGACAGATTCTCTTGGGATATGAGAAAACTCTAGTTTTGATCAACGGGACGAGTTCTAAGGTGTTGGTGAAGGAGTTTGAGGTTAGAAAGCAGGCTTCCATGCTCTTTCCTTTCTATTTTTTTTTCTGGTTTTTTTTTCTCTTAATTCTTCCTTAGAGTAACAAATGATTGTGCAATTGGTATTGAACAAAAGAGAACGATCCAAATATATACTTAATGTGAGGTTTAATGTGAACCACAAGGTGAGTTCAGTCCCATCTAATTCCAACCAAGTTGGATATTTGATGTTTATTTCTAGCTTTTCAAGTATGGGCCAATGGATGTGACGTACACATGGCATAACAGGAGAACTTACGTGAACGCTACACCTAGACATTCATTTGGGTCAGTGGAACTTTTATAGCTTTTCCAAAGACGCGTCATGCTTCCAACCAGTGATTTGTTGGGCAGTAGTGACAAAGCAACCTGAGTTTGCAGACACGAATCTACTTGTTACTCCATGTGGCATTCTCCCACTGGCTAGTTGGAGGAAGGGGTGGGTAGGTTTTGGATATATGCTTGGATTTGGGATAACGATGGCATTGTAATCCCTTCGTTTCCAAGAGCAAATTATGCAAATTTGGGACTGCATTCCATAAGTTGGGAATTCCAAATCAGTGAAAATGAATAATAAAAGAATAATCTATTTTTATCTGTAAATCAGTTCAGCACCTTATATTTCATCAAAACTCAGCAGCATCAGAAGCATAATATGCTTTAGAAACCCTAAATTTGGTCATCAATCCAAAGAAACGAAGAAAATAAAACAAATGGGAAAAGAAAATAAAAGGTTAACCTAGTATTATAGACAAGACCGGGAAGTACATCTCTTTGAAAATCCTTCCTGCCTTCCTCTCCTCGCCTGACTTCTCCGATGAAGTCTTGGCAATGATGTTTCATCTTGTGTTGTCCAAAATCATAGGCTCATAATTATTCTCTTCTACCATGGTTTCAGCTAAATTTAAGGTCATATACTCAAAAAAAAAAAAAAAAAAAAAAAAAAATATATATATATATATATATATATATATATCGAACTCATCTGGTCTCTAATCCTAACATCCAGTACTATTCTCATGCACTGAAAATGATCCAACATCATTCTCAATGTAACCCTTGTAAGAAGAAATGATTTCTGAGAACCACTGAAGTAAATCATTCACTTCAGCTTCTGATTCACGGCACGGAGCATCATCTTGAAACTTATGCACACCAGATGATGAGATGGCACAAAAAGCCTCAGTTGCAGACATCAAAAAGCCTTCACGAAAGTCCTTGGATTCATCAGTTATTGACTGAAATGGTTCTTTAAATTTGCTTTCTAGAAATTACCTCCGGACATGATGTCTATTTCATTTTCAAGGACAACAGTCTCCTCCAGATCTTTCTCAATTGGAATCCCAGCCTTGGTTCTTAGAGAAAAATCTCTTGCTTTAGTCTCTTCTTCGGTCACACGCATATTCAAATCATTTGGATGTCTTAAACAAGCACTACAACCAACTGAACGCCTTTCCACATTTAAACTCTTCGTGTTTTGGATCTCAACGAATTCAGATTCCTTAGGATTAGAGCTAGCACCATTAGTCTATGAAACACAACAACCAGGCTTCAGGCCAGAGCTGGCAGAAGCCAGGTAGGCCTGTAGACATGTGCTTTTCAAAAATGGAAACAGTCATTCTCCTATTCTTCTGTCTTCAGCATCATGTGTATTTGTTGCTGATGATGAATCCTGAATATAGTTTTGACAGAGGGCCTTCATTGTTCCAGAATGGCAAGCAAACGGTTCAGCATGTTTTCTTTGCAAGGAATCCAAATTCACCTGATGACAGACAGACATTTCACCAGAAGATTTACCATTAAAAAGTGAAATAGTTCTCTTAGCCAAGACAACCCTCCTAGTGGAGTTTCTTCCTTCCTTTGGGTACCAACGGAAATAAGATTTGAATAAGAAATTGCTTCATTTGGGTAACTTCTTAGAGGTTTACTTCCTCTGCAGATTTTATATTCTCCAGCCAGCCTGAACCCCTTAAGTTATTTGGAGGACTATGACGAGGAACTAGTTCACAAGCTGAATTACTAGCACTGTGTCCATTCGAGTGACCAGCCAATGCATGGTAAACTCGTGGTTCCTTGAACTGCAACAGAGAAACGAGGCAGAGGTCATTTTTGTACGAAAATTCAACTCCTGGACTTGGAACAAAATCTACTTCTTCATTAACAATCAAACTATCTGGAGAAACTTCGCGGCAATGCATCAATGTTGCTGAGCTCTTATTTGATTCAGGAAAGGTATCAAAGCAAGGGACCCCCTGAACAGATATTGCATTCTGTCTCGAGCTAGCTGAAGGCTTCTTCCAAGATGAAATGGAGGATGACTCAGAATTGACTAAATTAGATTAAGGAGCAGGCGGCTGCAGAAGCGTATCTGAAGTCCTACCAGATGTATCATGATTTCTGTCGGAGATTTCTACACCAAAAGTTGCTTTCTCAATTCTTCTGGTTTATTCTGATCAGACTCATGGGCTTTCGTGCAGCCAACATGTGATGATTCACTTTGTGTAGGCAAATATTCTCCATAAAACTTCTACCGAGTTTTTTTGGTAATTCTTTGGCCTGAAAAAAAGTATCAAATCATTAGTTGAAACTGAATAATCCTACATATCAATAAGCATATTGCAAGATTTTCCAATCGTCTCTCTTATTCTGAATCACCTAAAGGAAAAGAAATAAAATCATATCGGAGGTTGTAAGCTCCAATCACAAAGAAGAATATGACATAATCTCAGAAGTAAAGAACTTTCAAATACCGTAAGGTTAAACTCGTTTTCTAGAATATGCATTATGATAATCTGTCCTCAAAATAAGGTTAAGTTAATAATTTGTATATTTGAGATGAAGAAAAATAATTATAAGTTAAATTAGAGGTTAGTTATATATTTAGTATAAATTAAAAATATGAATTTTTTTTATTAAAAAAAGACCCTCGAAAGTGCGTTTAACAAACGAGACAGCCCCTCCCTTTTTTCTTATTTCGTATTTCCCTTATTTCTTTCTCTTCCTTCTTCATTCTTCTACTATCCCATTTCCCTCTTTCATTTTTTTTTTTTTTGGTTAAAAACCTTGCCTAAATACCACAAAAAACATGGAAACAAGATAATTAAAGGGACATTTAGCTAGATTAAGATTGAAAGGCTTGGAGGGATTTTAGAATTGAAATTAGAGTTGAAGATCAAAGATGAGAATTTTTATCATTTGGCTTTAAAGTGAGATGCTTATATGTATTTATTGATGATTTTGAAGTTAATTTAATTGAGTTAGTCTGTTGGAACAAAAAATTGAGTTAGGTTAGATTTAGAGTTTGAATTAAATTTAGGAGTTTGATGATTAAACACTTAATTGTGCTAATTGATGCTTGAAATGAGTTAAAGGTGCTATGAAATTGATTATTGGACTATGAATTTGAGAAATCCCCAAATTGGTTGAGGTGATGGATTGTAGAGATAAATTGTGTGAAAATTGAATTAGAAATTAAATATGAATTGTAGAGACAAATTGTGTGAAAAATTGAATTAGAAATTTGTGATGGATAATTTATTATAGTAAAGTGTAAATTGGGTTATTAGAGAAAGATTGTAGAAGAAACTCGTGATATAATTGTTGGATAATTGTCTAGAATTAGTTGAGAGAGTAAGAGTTAAGTTAGAAATCCTCGATTTGAATCTTTCCGATAAATTCCATTCTTATAATTTATCTTGTATTCGATTTCTAAAATAATTATTCCTTGATATGTGATATTAATGATTGTTTTATCATTTTATATCATTAGATTCTTCGAAGCGAGCAACTCCATCTCAACAACCTTGATTTCGTTCAATCATCTAATTGTACTATGAGTGAATGATATATAACATATCATATTTTTAAGCTCCTTTAATATTCTCATCATGCATCATTATTTTAAATATGTCAAAATCAAATATATTAGAACTTAGATGAGAACGAACATCTTTGTGAAATTTTGAAATGATTGAATTTCAAAAATGATTTGATATGATTCAAAAAGATTTGATTATGCATTTGAATAAGTTTCATTTAAGGTTTGATTTAATTTTATGAATTTAAATTTTATTTACTTGTTCGATTAAGATTATTGATTTTGATATTCATATAATTTAATTAAGTACGTACTTGATTAATAATTTTGAATATGATTTTGTATTTAAGCTTATACTTTGAGTATGAGATTTGATATTAAATTACATTACCAATGATTTTGAGCATGAATTTTGTTTGAATATGTTGGATTTATATTTTGGAATATATGTAAGTTTATTCTAGCTTCAAATTGGTTGACTATCTTGCGGCGTCTAGCTATGGTGGGTGTAGCTCGTGAACTCATTTATACGTGATGCTCTAGCTAGCAAGAGAGGTATAGTGCTAGCTTGTGTGTCGGCCAATATATAGTCACCTATCTATTAGGGGTGTAGCTTTTGCGTGCTCGCATCCAATGATACATTACAATTTGGTCACTCCGGATGTAGATTTTGAATATTTGATTTGGTTTAATTATTCCATGTATAGATTTTGATACTTGATATGACTTGATTTGATTATATATATGATTTTGATACTTGATATGACTTGATTTGATTATATATATATATATCGACATGAGACTTTGATTATGAGCTTGTATATATATATCGACATGAGACTTTGATTATGAGCTTGTATAGCTTAAAAATATGAGATACAATTTGATATTTAAATATGCATTTGATTTTTAAAAATACGCATTACATCTTGAGTAGGTTTTGAATTATTATCTATTTGTCTATTTTTCCCACTTAGATATTAAATATAATATCTACTCACCGAGTTGTTTTTTTGCTCAAATCCCACTATTTCGGTTTTGTAGGGTTGTGGAATTTTCCTTTGACTCGCTTAAAATGGTTAACTCTGGAACCAACCTATTGATCGTGCAACTTATATATATATTTTTAATATTTTGCACTTTTATTTTAATATTGTTGTACACTCTAAAAGCTCTGTAGTTATAATTGTGAAAGTTGTGTTAGTTCATTAATTAATATGTTGGTTATGTTGAAGTATTATGAATTTGGATGTGATATAGACTAATTAGGTTCTTGGTTATTGAATTATAAATTGAGATGAAATTTAAGAAGTATTGATTAAATTGGGATCCGATACTATGAAATGTGTAGGAGTTGTGTTAGATTGTTGATTTGAATATTATTTTGGAAATGTATAAATATGTAGAATTATAGTTTATGTTAGAATTTATAAAGTTATGACTATCGAGTGGTGAATTTATGGATTAGAAATGATATTGTAATTATTACAAGTTTAATAGTTATGTCCGAAATCCGAGGCTTGCTTGAATCAAGATGGAATCTACGAGCTTTATCGATTTTCATACCAATCATGGCTTACCTCGAGGGTTATGACACGTATGCAAACATACCTTCACATGTAACTACTTAAATGATTAGTTGGATGTGAAAACAATGGTTGCTTGAATAATTCCACTAATTGAATTTATTCATCACTAAGCATTACATTATCTCATAATACTCTAAAAGATGTGGGGTTTTGATTGTTCACCCGCTGTTCATAACACTTGTGGATCTCAATTTTTTCTACTCTACTCTCCTTTGCAACTGCCTTTTCCTCTTGCTTTTCTTTTGCTTCTTCTATAACCAATAAAAGCCCAAACCTCTCTTTTGTAGCCACCGTCTCCTCTTGCTTTTCTTTTACTTTTTCTATAACCAACAAAAACAAAACCAAGCAAATCCAATACCAAGCTTAAAAACACATACAATAAAAAAAAACTAAAATAAGAGAGAATTCAACAAAAAAGGTTGCTAAATTTTATTAAATAAATTAATTGAGAGGGCTTTTTCCCTTGAAAATTAATAATGTGGTGCTCCAAATCTGAATCTAACTCAAGAATTTAAAAATAAAAATAAAATAAACCAACCATTTCGATTCATCGTAAATATGCATGGCTTAAAAGATAAGAGCATATATTACCCGAACAAATAAATAGCAAAGAAAGTGTTTATTTTGATTTAGTTAAAAACACTTGACAATTTGGTCAACAATCAGTTCATCCATTATTACATCAAGCTTTTCTATAGTAGAAACAATATTTCAGAATTACTTACATGAAATTGACTTTGCTTGCAATCGCATCGCTATTTACCAACAAATTGAAGGAATCCGTATAATACTAACATTCCAAAAATAGAAGTTTAGATGGGGATGGAGTTCAAGAAAAATTTAACTCCATTCCCATCTAGTTAAAAACTAGTCCAAACAACTCATAAATTTTGCAAGAGTGCGAGTTGAATCCATGCTTCCCTACTATAGAAAAACTTTATTATATTAGATTTAAAAGAGAAAGAAAAAAAAAACAAAAACGTGAAGGAAGAAGGAATTGAAAATGAGATAAACCAAAGAAAATGAATTCTTGAAGCATAGAAACTTATGCTTAGAAATCTAAATCTGTCGATTTGTTCATGAGTTATTTAGGTGATTGAGATGGTGGATTTAAATGGATTCGTGATGTGAAGTATGCGAGAAAAACTAGGGTAGATGGGTTCGAAGAGAAGACGACATGGCAAGGCGATAGGGTGGTCTGTTGGGGCTTGGGGTTGGCGAGAGAATTTATTTATGGGTGGTGAAAGATAATAGAGATAGTAGGCGTGGTGACGGGGGTGGGTGGAAGAAAAGGGAGGATTATTCTAGGGTTTTTTAGTTTTAGGGCCACCGGAGAGGAAAAATAAGAGAGAATGAAGAAAAAAATGGGTATTCATATGTAGTGTTTATTCATATGTTGTGTTTAGGGTTAGGTAGTTAAGTTTCTTTTTAGTCCCTTCGTTGTATGTAGTTTTCATTGTGATCCGATACTTCTTTATTTGTTTTTATTTCCATACCTAATTGAGTTGATTTTCATGTTTTTCTTTTCTTTTTTTTTTTTTGAATTTATATGCAATTAAAGGCTATTGGGTTTTCAATTCTTTTAATTATGTTGTCTCGTTAAATTTTTTCCATTCTTATTTCCTCAATTGTTTCAATAGACATCCGTATGCCTTTTTTATATTTTCTTTTTCTTTCTTTTCTCTTTTTTTTTCTTTCTTTTTTATGTTAAAAAATAACTCACAAAAATTATAAAAATTTATAAAGACTAATAAAAATTTTTAATTTTGAAAAAAAAATTGATTGAACAAAA